GTTTTGTTTTCTTTTTCGTTACGAATATTGAATTTTATTTGAATATTAAACGTTATGGGAAATTTGCTGCGTTAGCCTACATACTTACTCTTTGCAATACTGCGGCCCGTAGATCCTTGAACACCTCCGAAGAAGAGAGTCCACAGATAACTCTCCTTCCTTAAACTGTTCCCAGACACGTTGCACCCTCTCGTTGGCTTCCGCATACCTGCCGTTGACACGCCCCACAACATTCTCTTCCAAAATCTCCACAACGTTCGCCTCTATCCCTATACTTACCTCGTACATAATTTCAGGTACAGATACTACGGGAGTCACTTGGCTAGTCCCCAAACTCGTAATAGAACTGTAAAAAGGCATATTTTTCCGAGTTATACTGTTAAAATGACGGTGCCAACCTTCCAGATAATTGTTGGTTCTTATTTCTACGTCGAATACTGACCAATCATTGGGAGTCCAGACACTGTTGTATAGCCATGTGTTTTGAAAATATTCGGAGCCAAATTATTGTGACGCACATTCTTTATGATGGCCTGAGTGAAGTGGAAAGAGATCTGGCACTGATATCCATGCACGGAGATTAGATAAGGTGCCAGATCGGTGATAATGAAGCCGCGCGCCGAGATTACTGCTCGGTTATCGCCGACTTTAAAGCCTCATTATCGCCGGCCTGACACCTTACAAACGTAAATACTCATTAGCCGAGGTCGTTTTCATCACAGTTTTATACTGAAACGAGGACGACTAACGGTATATTAACTCCACAAAAACTACGCAAGAATTTTAGATGACTACTCCAAATATGTGCAACAGATGTGACGACTGGATTTGATGTAGAGCTGGGAATTCGACTTTTGCAACACTGAAAAAAGCAAGGCTTGTCTCGTTGGATTATTTGAAGACACAAATTTATGTAAATTGGCAACAAAAGTCAGAAAGTACCGTACTGGGTTAGATTGGTCTACAACTACGTATTGACTGTTTATATAAGAAGAAACATTTCACAAGTTTAGGAATGCCATCATAGTCTGACCATGAAGTAGCAGCTGTGACATGCCCCTATGAAATTTTATTTACAGGACCCATTGGCATTAAGCTGGACCAACGACCCAAAACGGCAAGCTATACAATCAACACTAATATATAGGGTCGTTAAAGCCAATAAATTGGACAATTCAATACCATCGAGGCCGGAAATCTTATATCTGTATGTATATATAGCCCAGTTGCCCTAGTATATTAATTGTGTGGAAAGTTTAAGACGCCCGAAATTAATTTATTCGAGTCTACCGTTTTCAGCAATTGTGTAGCCTACAATTATGTGTGTGAGTTTGTTCATATGAATTGCAGTCGTTTGGGTGCAACAGGGAATGTTTAGATCACTGATATGCTAATTTTTTTAGATGTGTGGAGTGTAACACAATTACACATTATTTTTGCATCATTGTTTCGTGTGACATTGCTAGAAGCTCACTTGTATGCTATATTAAGTTTTTCTAAACCTTGTATTCTTAAATCTAGTCGTATTTGTGTTTTTGGCAATGCATCAATATTTCTTGATATAGAGGACTTGCACGGGTCACGTGATTTTGTTACTGGACGGCAATGAAACAAAAACGTCCATAAAGCTCCTGTCAGTTGCAAGTCGGATTATACGTTTCCGTTTTGTTTGGCTGTTGAAAATGGTTATTTCGTATTGTTCCGCTGGCTGTACTTATAGTATAGACAACGAAATGGATCTTCAGTTATATTCCACTGTTTTCAAAAGATCCGGAACGTCGCGCAATGTGGATATCTATCTATTGGCAGGACTGCTTGGTGTCGTTCAGAAGCCATCTCACTTGTGTTTCACTGTTTGCGGACAGCACTTCGTTGATGGTAAGTCATAATGTGCCGTTATCAATTTTTTTGAATATTCATAAGCTCCCTCATTTCAATGGAAAGCAGATGACAAACTACTGTTATTGGTAGGCCTAGGCGTAGGCCGACTTGCAGACTTGACTCGTGTAAGGTATTATAAGGTATTGTTTCCCTAGTTAGCAGGTAATCTATTAGTAAGTGTGAAAAGTTGAATAGATAACTAAAGTTTAACGCCAGTGCTAATGCAAAAAATAACCAGAATTCAATTGAATTCCCCATCTAAGAATACGCTCGCCACCGCATCTCTGATCCCCCTTGGAGTTTCACAGGTTCCAATCCCATGCGGGGATAGTTATGTGCGAGGGGATTGCAGCTCTCCTCCCATTGAGGGTGGTTCACACGATCGCTGGTCGATTACGACATCCCCCGCCATCAAGTCCATGCTTCTAAAACAAATTACTGGCTAACTAATCCCGACATAGAATGGTAATCGTACGATGTTGCACCTTGCAATCTGTCCCCAACCACAGATAAATTCTATCCTAAAAACTACCCACATTGGTAGGCATAGTTGCGTTTTAAAATGAAAGAAATCTTCATTAATGGTCAGAAGGTGTTTTTCTGATTGTTTTGTTATTTAGCAGGTAATTTATTACTGATCTGATACACAAACTTGGCACTGTCAAATGATGATTAGTGTTTAATTTATTTTCAGGAAAAAGGGAAGATAACCCATTATCAGCTGCTTATATGTCCCATCGATATTTGAATTTTCGCCATCCCCAGAGAGGAAGAGAATAGTTAGAAAAAGGGGGATTTTGAAGAAAGGCAAAAGGCAGGACCATTTCAACAAATTCTGTTAACTTGTATGCGTTGCAATATTAATTTGCAGTTGTTAGCATAAACATTTAATGTGTCTTTCGACTAGACCTACCACACTTTAAAAAAAGCCGCCTACACTCCTTTTCACTAGAACCATAATACTGTAAAATATTTGATAGAAATTACCCCCGAGGCATCATATCTTCCATTTGAAAGGGCTGTGGAGGCAGATACATTATTTACTCTGAATTATGGAATGTTACTTCCAGGTTATCTTATCCTTGCTTATATATATCTTGAGGTTAGTGACTCCAACTAACCCATGCATGCCACACTAAAAATTCTCTTGTGTACCCATAAAAAAAGGCTGTTGGAGCCTTCAGACCTTGAAAACAGTCGAATCTGAGCACGATGGATTCATGTGAAACACGTAATATGCATTTAGAGGCAAAAATATCCCATCCTGAGCAGCACCGATCCACAACCTCCTGCCTATGGAATCAAAACATTAGACAAATTGGTGTACTGTGCGTATTCACAAATTTTTGCGAATCAAGTGTGCGTTTTGACTAAATAAAATTTAGCATTGAAATGGTCAATCTCAATATCAACCAAGTATCTGCAGATAAAACCAATTGTTTTTAAAAAATACATTTTTGATGTGCTTTATTTTTCAAATATAATTTATAATTACTGTAAAATGTGTGATACATTTGGTACCATGAATACCATTTGCAAATTAGCTTGGGTTACACCCCTCTCAAATAAAAGATTAGACTCTTAAGTCATATCTCATAATATTGTTTAAACAAAAGGTTGCGGCTACCCATCAGAATTTTCTTTCAGATCACAAAGTCGCAATATTACGCCTCGCTAAGTTTCATTGGCAACTGTATCTGGTTGTAGTATCGGTGTCCAACGTTAGACTAAAACCTTCACTACCAGACCCACCGAAACAATTTTTTTTCTTTTCTTGATAGGGTCGTCTTGAAGTTGCTTTCGTTAAAGCACAATGAACTTTTTGTCTCCACCATTCCACAGTAATCACAAGTTACTTTGTCATTACGATAAGCATCAATAAATGGATACTGAGGATGTATTATCAAGTCACGCAAGCTGAGGTCTTGTGTCACTGTGGTCTTGTTGCAACTTATACTTTGCCATCCATCTATTCCATGGTCGCACCCATATCTGTAAGATAATGGATACAGATAGAGTTTTCATAAAATCTAACGATCAAGGAGTCTGAAATTTATGTCCATATCCCACCACAGCCACTAGCCGTAAATGAATTTGATTCCGGGTAGTATATCTTTTTTTACCAATGACAATAAAAGACACTATGGATCAGTTGTACAAGCACCATAAGGATAGGATTTATCTGGGGGGGAGCCAGTTATTTGTTTTCAGAAGCATGGACTTGGATGGTGGGGAATGGTCGTAACCAATCAGCGGTCATGTGAACCACCCTCGGTGGGAGTAGAGCTGCAATCCTCTTGCACATAACTATCCCCGCATGGGATTGAAACCTGTGAAACTACCAGGGTGATCAGAGAGGCGGTGGCGAGCGTATTCCTAGATGGCGAATTCAATTGAATTCTGGTTATATTTTGCATGACCACTGGTGTTAAACTTTAGTCATCTATTCAACCTTTCCACTTAGTAATAGATTACCTGCTAATTAGGGAAACAATATCTTATAGCAATTGATTATTAATTGCTTACTGTCTTACACAAGTCAAGTCTGCAACTGCAAGTACAGAAGTAGGCCCACGCCTAGGTCTACTAATAACAGTAGTTTGTCATCTGCTTTCCATTGAAATGAGGGAGCTTGTGAATATTTTAAAAAAATGAAAACGGCACACTATCACCACATTATCACTCACCATCAACGAAGTGCTGTCCGCAAACAGTGAAACACAAGTGAGATGGCTTCTGGACTTGACACCAAGCAGTTCTGCCAATAGGCAATAGATGATATCCACATTGCGCGACGTTCCGGATCTTTTGAAATCAGTGGAATATAACTGAAGATCCATTTCGTTGTCTATAATATACGTAGAGCCAACGGAACAATACGAAATAACCATTTTCAACAGCCAAACAAAACGGAAACGTATAATCCGACTTGCAACTGACAGGAGCCAAATGGACGTTTTTGTTTTATTGCCGTCCAGTAACAAATTCACGTGACCCGTGCAAGTCCTCTATAGTTGCAACAAAATTTTTATGTAACATTTTGTATTCCCACGAATATTGCACCACATCACAATCGTGTCAACAAAAAATCTATCAATTTTTTTATTTCTTATTAAGTGTTGCCCTGTTCTTCCTCTGATCAGTGTTTGCATAATTGAATCAATTTATTTGAAGTTATTGCCCGATTCTGTATCGTGTATTTTTATTGTGTTATTTGACTGTTTTTGGAAGACGGGCGCGTATTTTCACGTTTTTAACTTTGTCTTTAAGTTATGCCCGTCCTCCAGGTTTTGTCACTTTTGTGTTTGTTCGTTTGTTATTGTTTTGTTTTATACCAGAGCGACCGAAATAAAAAATTCTGAGTAGTAGACGTTGCCTTCAGGAAATTTTTCCTTGTTACTGCGAATTCTGTACAATCTTGAATTTCCTATATATATACTTTAGTATCGTCAATAACATGGAAATTTTTGTAATAGTGGAAAAAAAGCGTCTTCAGTTCAAATCACGTTTACCATCACATCTTCATTTTATTTTAGATTTTCGTTGAATATATTCCCAGTCGCCAAACCCTACAGATGTTTTATTACTACCTGTGAAATTTGCTTACAAATTGTAACTACCAACAGACTGAATACTACTTCGCTTAGTTCCTGAATACTTTCACATTTAAAACATAGAGTTACCCAATGCATCGCTAAAATCGTATGGCGTTGGTATTTTCAGAAACAGATAATTTTTGTTGCATGAATTGAATGACTTAATAAACAGTTATGTATAATTGTACGTTCGGCATTTTCTCTTGTGGCCTGAAACTATTCGATATCATCTTTGATAATGGTCCAATCGTGTTTCATGACAAAAATATTTTAAAACTGCTATCCGGAGAGCAACTGAGCCACTTATTATCATCATGACTGTTTTTTTTTTATTGAAATCCACATGTTTGGAGGCGTCAAAAAGGAATCTTTTTCAAAATATTCGATATGCGTGACGTTATGCTCATTCGTCACGAAGGTCGCAATTGGGAAAGCGAGTTTGCCCTTGGTTGCATTCCGTATCAGAAGTGTGTAGACTTGCAAATCTTTCGTGTCAGCCCTTCGTTTTATTACACTCCCATTTACATCAAGATGTATGATACCGGTTCTGCAAGTCGGTAACACTCGGTGGATGAACCATAAACTGTCTCAACAGATAGTCAGTCGTCTTTTGACTGCATTTCACTATTCCGATTTTCTAAATTTTCAATCCATTCGTTTGTATCCGCTCTTTATATTTCCTAGTTTCGATTAACATGTCACGTTTGTAAAAGAATCCTTCAATCCGGTGTCATTTGGTAGTAAAGTTTTCGCTGGAAGCACTTCATTTCTTTATACATTCTATCTCGCAAATTTCCTTCTCACATATCTTCGACAAATACATTTCGATTTGTGGGCTTGTTAGCCGATGACCGCAACTGTACAGCCTTTGTAATATTTTCTTGCTTTTTAGCACATATTGTCTTGATGCGCAGCGTAATGGGGGCCAAGCTAACTCGTAGTTCATCTTCACCAGATTTCAGGTGTGACCTTGATTTGGTTTTTATCTGTGATAAAGACGAAAAGGCGGTTACAAGTAAGTTGTGGAGAATGGCAGAAGAATCTGAACAGCCTGTTGTGAAATGTCTGGGTATTCCTGCCGTGCAATGAGTAGGGATGGCGGAATCGACTATCGAATCGATTCTTCGTGGAATCGACTAGAATCGATTCCGACGCATTGGAATCGACTCTTAAAAATTTGGTTATCAACAAGGTATATAACGTTTTGTGACAAGTCCGTCGCCGTATAAACTTCCTACGTGGAGTTAGTTTCACGACGCCGCAAATATCGCTATATTTCTACACGCTTATCGCACTCGCTCGTTTGCGCGGGTCATGTGAGCACGCGGCACTTTCGGACCATTCCGTATCTTGTTTCTCTTAATTACTGTGAGGGAGAATTAGTGGTGCTTCTTCACTTTTTATCTCGCACGCCATTGGCTGCTGCATTCTCCCGTATCACTCGCTTGTTTGCGCTGGCACGTTTCGTCTTGCGAGGGCAGCTTGAAGCGTCGCGCGACCTTTTGTTCCAAAAAAACTCATGTTGCGCGACTTGATTTGTGTTTATGATATTACACCGGACTAGTTTATTATATTCACAAATGCAAGCGTTAGGCTGTTTAGTGTTGTGTCTGTCGAACGCCATTTATTTTGTACATTGTAGACTACTCCATTTGGGAGGCGGACAACTCGACTACACGGATAACTCACCAGAGACAACTCGACTACCTAGATGCCTGGTGAGTTGTCCGTCTTTTGGCATTTTCTACGATGGTGTTTTAGGTCTATTGAAATGCGTTTTTGATATTTTTAGTGCTCAAATGTTGAGAAAAATACATAAATATGCTCTAGAAAGCATTTTTATTTGTATAAGTGGCTTATTTTGATCATGTCGTATGAATACAAATACAGTCTACAGACGAAATTGGAGTAACGTTAGCGAAGTTAGACTGTTGACATATAGGACTGTGTTCGTTTAATTTTTTGACCTTCATACTTCACAGTAACACTTAAATATTTATGAATGTGAGCTCAGTAGTCTATGGTTGCAGTAGTCTAAACTCGCCTACGGCAGTCGTCCGACAGGCAGTCAACTCACCAGTCGAGCAAACGCTCTGCGACGTGGCGTCATCGATGCTCGAGGTGAAGACAACTCGACTACCGAGCAACGAGAGGCAGACAACTCACCAGTCGAGCAATCGCTCTGCGATATCGATGCTCGAGGAGAAGACATTGCGTTGCAAAACGCAGACTCAAGAGTTGCATAGCATTTACTTAGTGCCGACTGATATCAGTTGTAAGCCAACTCACCACGGCAAGGTTTTTTTAGTCATAGAGTTGGAATTCGTTTTTGCAGAAGAAAACCAGGAACAGATAGGCACTGTCGCTGCGCCTGGCAAAGAAACTGGGCCGAAGAACGGATAAAAGATGTTTACTTTTTGTTACGAATAATGAATTTAATATGATATTGAATACTAAACGTTACGGGGAAATTTAATGGGTGGAAGGTTTTGTTTTCTTTTTCGTTACGAATATTGAATTTTATTTGAATATTAAACGTTACGGGGAAATTTAATGGGTGGAAGGTTTTGTTTTCTTTTTCGTTACGAATATTGAATTTTATTTGAATATTAAACGTTATGGGAAATTTGCTGCGTTAGCCTACATACTTACTCTTTGCAATACTGCGGCCCGTAGATCCTTGAACACCTCCGAAGAAGAGAGTCCACAGATAACTCTCCTTCCTTAAACTGTTCCCAGACACGTTGCACCCTCTCGTTGGCTTCCGCATACCTGCCGTTGACACGCCCCACAACATTCTCTTCCAAAATCTCCACAACGTTCGCCTCTATCCCTATACTTACCTCGTACATAATTTCAGGTACAGATACTACGGGAGTCACTTGGCTAGTCCCCAAACTCGTAATAGAACTGTAAAAAGGCATATTTTTCCGAGTTATACTGTTAAAATGACGGTGCCAACCTTCCAGATAATTGTTGGTTCTTATTTCTACGTCGAATACTGACCAATCATTGGGAGTCCAGACACTGTTGTATAGCCATGTGTTTTGAAAATATTCGGAGCCAAATTATTGTGACGCACATTCTTTATGATGGCCTGAGTGAAGTGGAAAGAGATCTGGCACTGATATCCATGCACGGAGATTAGATAAGGTGCCAGATCGGTGATAATGAAGCCGCGCGCCGAGATTACTGCTCGGTTATCGCCGACTTTAAAGCCTCATTATCGCCGGCCTGAAACCTTACAAACGTAAATACTCATTAGCCGAGGTCGTTTTCATCACAGTTTTATACTGAAACGAGGACGACTAACGGTATATTAACTCCACAAAAACTACGCAAGAATTTTAGATGACTACTCCAAATATGTGCAACAGATGTGACGACTGGATTTGATGTAGAGCTGGGAATTCGACTTTTGCAACACTGAAAAAAGCAAGGCTTATCTCGTTGGATTATTTGAAGACACAAATTTATGTAAATTGGCAACAAAAGTCAGAAAGTACCGTACTGGGTTAGATTGGTCTACAACTACGTATTGACTGTTTATATAAGAAGAAACATTTCACAAGTTTAGGAATGCCATCATAGTCTGACCATGAAGTAGCAGCTGTGACATGCCCCTATGAAATTTTATTTACAGGACCCATTGGCATTAAGCTGGACCAACGACCCAAAACGGCAAGCTATACAATCAACACTAATATATAGGGTCGTAAAGCCAATAAATTGGACAATTCAATACCATCGAGGCCGGAAATCTTATATCTGTATGTATATATAGCCCAGTTGCCCTAGTATATTAATTGTGTGGAAAGTTTAAGACGCCCGAAATTAATTTATTCGAGTCTACCGTTTTCAGCAATTGTGTAGCCTACAATTATGTGTGTGAGTTTGTTCATATGAATTGCAGTCGTTTGGGTGCAACAGGGAATGTTTAGATCACTGATATGCTAATTTTTTTAGATGTGTGGAGTGTAACACAATTACACATTATTTTTGCATCATTGTTTCGTGTGACATTGCTAGAAGCTCACTCGTATGCTATATTAAGTTTTTCTAAACCTTGTATTCTTAAATCTAGTCGTATTTGTGTTTTTGGCAATGCATCAATATTTCTTGATATAGTTGCAACAAAATTTTTATGTAACATTTTGTATTCCCACGAATATTGCACCACATCACAATCGTGTCAACAAAAAATCTATCAATTTTTTTATTTCTTATTAAGTGTTGCCCTGTTCTTCCTCTGATCAGTGTTTGCATAATTGAATCAATTTATTTGAAGTTATTGCCCGATTCTGTATCGTGTATTTTTATTGTGTTATTTGACTGTTTTTGGAAGACGGGCGCGTATTTTCACGTTTTTAACTTTGTCTTTAAGTTATGCCCGTCCTCCAGGTTTTGTCACTTTTGTGTTTGTTCGTTTGTTATTGTTTTGTTTTATACCAGAGCGACCGAAATAAAATTGATTGAATTGATTGGTGAGTTGGCTTACAACAAATATCAGTCGGCACTAAGTAAATGCTATGCAACTCTTGAGTCTGCGTTTTGCAAAGCAATGTCTTCTCCTCGAGCATCGATATCGCAGAGCGATTGCTCGACTGGTGAGTAGACGGCCTGTCGGACGACTGCCGTAGGCGAGTTTAGGCTACTGCAACCATAGACTACTGAGCTCACATTCCTAAATATTTAAGTGTTACTGTGAAGTATAAAGGTTTTAATCAAACCATTTAATACCAATAAAGTTCAAAAAATAAAACGAACACAGTCCTATAAGTCAACAGTCTAACCTCGCTAACGTTACTTCAATTTCGTCTGTAGACTGTATTTGTATTCATACAACATGATCAAAATAAGCCACTTATACAAACAAAAATGCTTTCTAGAGCATATTTATGTATTTTTCTCAACATTTGAGCACTAAAAATATCAAAAACGCATTTCTATAGACCTAAAATATCACCGTAGAAAATGCCAAAAGACGGACAACTCACCAGGCCTCTAGGTAGTCGAGTTGTCCGTGTAGTTGAGTTGTCCGTCAGCCCTCCATTTAGTCTTGAGATAGGACATTTTGTAGGCTGGTCTGCTAGTACTGTGATTTTAGTGACTGTGGACCTGTATATATACTGGTAGTCTAACTGAATAGTCTGATAGTAGATTAGCTCATTGGACAATTACTAATCCGGCAGTACCGGTATAGTAGGCTGCTGTACAGACACCTCTTTCTTATGTAAGCAATATTACTGCGTTAAGGGTCCTATACAGTACCGGTACAATGCCCCGAGATGGTTCACCATGTGATTGAGCCATCATAATACGGTACGGTACCGGTACCCTATTACAGTTTTAGCTTTCTCTTTCAGGAAATATAACAATATTCTTCTCATTTACAGAATATTCTACATACTATTGAAAACTTAGCTACATTCAGACATTTAAATCAGAGTGCCCAATATGAAAAGGAGTGGAGCACATTGGCGAAAGTCTGTCGTTTGGCACCACTTTAAGGAGATTAACAATAATGGAATAGTCAAAGTTAAATGCTTCCATTGCGGAGAAACTATGGCTTTTCACAACAGTACTTCTAACATGCTGAAGCATATGAATGGCCGTCATCCTTTTGTAAAATTACAAGAAGATGACATCCAAAGTTGCAGTGAAACATGTACAAGTGCTTCGAAGAACAGTTCAAATTCTAATTCCAGCAGCATTAGTAGCCAAAATCTTAGTTTTTCAGAAACTGAGACACCAAGAATGAAACAGACAATATTGCCTTATTGGAACTTACACCTATGGAGGCTAAAAGAATTGATGATGGCATTGTCAATATGGTTGTCGGTGATTTACGTCCAATCAACATTGTTTCAGGCAGATATTTTCAAAACTTGGTAGTTATGCTAGCTCCGCCAGGATACACGATTCCATCCAGGCAAACAATAACAACCAAAGTGGAAGATCTTTACAGAGAAAAGAAAGAAGTTGTAATGAATGAACTACTCAATGCCACATATGTTGCACTGACAACAGATGCCTGGACTAGCATAAAACATGAATCATATTTGTGTGTCACCGCACACATTCTTTCCCAGGATTTCACTATAAATTCATTTGTACTTTCAACACAGCAACTTGATGACAAGCAAATAGGAGAAAATATAGCAGGATGGATACATGGGATTGTTTCAGATTTTGGTGTTCCTTTCTCAAAAATTGTCTCCATAACAACAGATAATAGTTCGAATATGATTGCAGCTGTTAACATATTGAAAAGAGAACACAATTTAAATGCGATTATGTTGTTGCTGATGTTTTTAGTGTTTAAAATTGTATTTTTTGCTAGAAGGCTATTACATTTATTTTTTAAAAAAGTTCCTGTGGGCTCTCATTTTTGCCCGATTTTGTTATTATGTTGTTGCTGACGTTTTCAGTGTTTAAAATTGTATTTTTTGCTAGAAGGCTATTACATTCATTTTTTAAAAAAGTTCCTGTGGGCTCTCAGCAATTCATTTTTGCATGATTTTATCTACTGTGACTACCGAATACACATACTACTTAGTTTTAGCTTTTTTGTGTCCATTCCTTTGAGCATTGCTCTCTTGTTTGATTTCACATGGTATGGTTTAGGTGGGTATCCATTTTCAATAATTTATGTCGAGGAATCGAAAATTTAGGAATCGAATACTTGTAAGTACTCATACGAGTACTCGTACTTAGCAATGAGGCAAAACTTGTCGATGCTCATTTTGTTGTGTTTCAGTTGCAATGTGCGGTACATGCATATTCCTGCAATCTGTTCCCGTGCTTTTAAATTTAATTCACCCGCATTACCGAGGGTAGATCAGTTGAACGAATTTCTTACCCAATCATATTTAGAAAAATTCAAGTCGGGAAAGTAAACCCTAAATCTTTGCTGTAGCATTTCTAAATGACCACCAATAGGCTTGCACGTAATTGACAAAAATCAATTCCGTAATTACGGCCAAATCGATTACGTAATGACCCCGTAATTGCGATATTTTTTTCACACATTTAAACCTATCATAACAACAAATTTAATCCACTTCTATTCCGAATGGGACATCGAAGTTTGGTTTTCATATTCCCGGCAGTACTACACGCCGGCGACAGATGTTAAAGACAAATATCAAGGAGTGAATTCAAAATAATTTTATTCTGATTTTTATCTTTTGTATTTATTAGCTTTGATTTTTTTATCCACTTTATCATCAAATTTTATGCGATCAATTTTATCATTACCAACACTGGTAATATATTTAAGAAACGATAGTTCACTTTTTTTAAATCGTATTAACGTATTAATACGACTTTCGTATTAAATAAAAATTCCGGGTTGCTAATTTATTAATCAACTACAAGCGTATTCTCTCGTTTGATTATACTTTCGCTTGCCTCGCGACGAAGACTTGTTATTTCACCGTTTCTTACAATATCCGACTTTACTACTTAGCATTTTATAATAATTATTGATGCCGACTTATTGACGATATTCCGAATTCCATGCTTCATTTTACATTAAATCATTTCGAGGCCTAAAAGTTATAACATTATTTGCGATAAATTTAAATCAAATATTAATTATTTGCGCATTATTTAAAATACCGTACTTATATGACATGCCTTCTCCGAAAATACAAAGTTATATCGCAAAACAATGCATTTTGTGACATTTATTTTGCACTCATGAAAATATTAATTTTTTTTTCTAACTCAAGCCGACAATCCTATTGGCCAAGATTGACACAAGTTTGGTCGAGTGCCGGTGGTATTCGAGTCGACGATAAATCAAAATAAGTTGCCGCATTTGGTAAAGACAGGTAATCATATTTGGCCGACATATTGCGAAGCATTGTTAAAAACATATTGAGCAATGCCAAGTCCGGACAGATATATAACGATAAAATCGGTAACAGAACATCAAGATTTTGTAATAGAAGATGGATCTCGCGCAGAATAAACACGGGAAATCCCGTCGTATTGTTGTTTCTCTGCCGTCTCAATAGCTTTACCGATGCCGAAAAGACTAAGTTGCGTTGGTTCATTATATTGCTGTTTGATAAGCGCGACATTAATTATCACGGCATTTACAAATAGACCATGTTTTATAAGTTGATCTCTTACATTCTTTAGTCATTTCACCCGAAGAAGTTGAAACCAGGCGTGTTGACGTCCATCGGTCTCAACACAATTCTATTCCGTTTCTACGGTTAATATGTACATTGACCATCCTAGATAAGTTGATAATAGGTTAGTAAATGACGGGTTATGCCTTCCCCATCTGCCTAACAAGAGAGAGAAAAACGGCTGCGAATACCGGAACTCTAACTTCTTTTACTTAAACTTTAGTTTTTTAAAATCGACGGAATTGACTGCTCTGAAGAGAGCTCGTTTCAATCGCGAAAGCGCTCGACCAATAATTACGACTTTACGTAATTCGTAACTTCGCTTCCGTAACTCGAAATAATTCCGTAAATTACGTGCAAGCCTAACCACCAATACTATTCTTCGAAATATGTCGGTTTTTAACGTTCGCAGCAGTTTCCGTACGGGGGAACATCTCGAACACACCTTGTGCAACGTTTGCTAGCCACAACTTCAACGAAAAGCCGTCAAATTTATCCGTAACTGTCAACAGTGTTTCATTCCTGTCTTGCATATTGGCGTTGGTTCCCGTACATTTGAACCCACGACAATTGTACCTGCATACTATTGCACCTATGGGTAGGGTTACCATATTTTTGTGACTTCAAATCGGGACGCCTCGAAAAACAACGACCCCTTAGCTGTGATTTTATACCTTCACATTTTCCGATTTTACTACATAGACCTACATTTAAAGCTGTCTCGGCTGTCTTTATTGACCATATTGTTATCGAAATTTCATGCGCATATTCTCTGTCCAAATATCGGGTTCAGTTCGAAAAATAGGAAGGAATTGACGTTAACGATACCGGTACAAATAATTCGAATTTAGACTAATTAGTATTGGTTTTATATGCGATACGCCATCAATGGGAATCAGCGGGAAACGAACGCATTCACCTTCAGTAAGTAGGCTAGCGCTGCGGTACACAGAAACAACAGTAACGAGAACATGTTTGTGTATTATGCTGGAAAAGCGGGACTTTTGGCTGACTTATCGGTACGGCGGGACAAAACGCTGAAAAGCGGGTGTGTCCCGCCTAAAGCGGGACGTATGGTAAGCCTACCTATGGGAATTTATTTTGCGGATATTTGAACCAATACGAACCCTAATCCATGGGTTTTATTAGCACCCGCGGATATACACATGAGTTCTATTACACGGTCGTCTTTGGAGCTCATTTAAGTGACTAAATAAATATATCGGTCAGATATGCAAGTTTCATCCACCAAATTTCATCATCTATACAGGGTTGATTTCCGACTTCTTCTCTGAGTTCATGAATACGAAGCAACCCTTTT